CTCTCTCTCTCTCTCTCTCTCTCTCGCTTGTGCACTCGCTCTCTCTCTCTCTCTCTTTCTCTTGCAAATATGGGTAAAAATGTCTTTGAATTTTGCAAAGTGAAATTGTGACTTATGTTTGATTCCTTGTTTCTACCGTGGATCATTTTGCTGTAGTTAAAACTGAAAATGTTATCTGAAGATTTGGCATCCTGAGGCTGGTACTGATTTTTTCGTTTGTTTTCTTTATTTGGTTGGGGGAGGTAGGTGTGTGTATGTTTGTATGTGTTTAATGGAGGTCCTGGGGATTGAACCCAGGACCTCACGCATGTTAACTAAGCATGTGCTCTACCACTGAGCCGCACCGTCCCCCGACCCCAGCATTAATACATTTCTATGGATTGTTACGTGTCGTGTTCCTATTTGTTCCGAAATATGCTGTTCTACATGAAAAACCCGTTAAAAATGGGTTGCTCCCCAACCCATATTCAATGCTAAAAGCTTCTGTTTAAGGTTGACTATATGGAATTTGTTTGATATGAATGATCATTTTTGACCTTTTATGCAAATATGAATATGGAGGTATAATAGATTTCGTTGCCTTGTTTAATTTCTATTAAAATGTTTAATGGCTGTACGGTCCCGAAGAACATCACTGAGCTATTTAATGTTCTCCCAAAACTAAGAATATTTACTACTCGTCGGGGAGCAAAGTAAGCCATGTTGGATAGTGATTTGCTCTCTCAATGTAGAGCTCCTTCTGGTGTTACTACAAAACGGTCTTGAGTAGGAAGTTGTCTTGATTATGTGGAAATCGTGTTTCTGTGCTTATCGGGTCGCTGGCGGAGGACAGCTTGCTTTTCCTTTATGGGGTGTCAGTGTTTCATTCTTCATAATTACTGTGGTTTGGGACAGTGATTCACTGTGTAAACTATACAGTGTCGTGCCCAGGCTCGTGGGGAAAATGTCGGAAGGCAGAGGGGTCTGCATCACGCGCTCCCCTTGGGGACAGCGCCGAGGCTGCCGGCTCACGTTTTGGCGGACGCCTGCTGCCTGGGTGCGCGGCTTGCTCTGGCTGCGGCCGTGGTGGGTGGGGGGCCCTCTTAGTTAAGACAGCAGGTGCTTTAGAGGAGTCTCAGTTTTTAAACCAGGCTTTAGGCTTAGAACCTACACACTGCGGGCCCTCTGCGATTTTGTGTGAGGGGCAAGGAGCAGTCAGGGATCCCGGGGCCCTGGGAGCCCGTGCTGGTGCCTGCCCCAGACTGGTCACCGCAGACGCTGCCCGCCTGGGTCCACGCCCCCCCAGGCCTCAAGACTCCAGCCCCTAGGGCACCTCACGGCCTTACTTCAGTTTTCCGTGGTGACTCTGTGTGCGATTCTTACGTTTCTTGGGATGTAGGACCTGTTTTGCCCAGAATGCGCAGCCCAGCGTCATTTGTCCTGACGTGCGTTCAGTCACTCACCCCTTTCCCGGGGACCTGGAGGTCACTTTGGTCACTCCCGAGTGCTCTGCAGCCCAGGCCGGTCTCTGCCTGTGCTGTGCGGTGCTGCTCTGCGGGGAAGGTGGACGCGGGCCACTCGGCCTGTTCTCTCGTGCCCCTGAGAGGCAACAGACGGCACAGGTCGAGCTCTGAGCCCAAACGATGTCCCGCAAATAATGGCGGCAGGTGCACGAGGTCACAGGGACCCACGTGTTCCGTAAGACCGCGCATTTCACTGCTGCCCAGCAGGCCTCTGTCTGAATGCACTTCCAGGGGAGCTGTGCTTGTCTGAGCGTATCTTACGGACAAAAGGAAAGGGGGAAGGGGCAGTGCACGGTCGCAGCAGGTGCCGCGTTTCTGTCTGCTGGGTTAGTGACAACATCAGGTGGAAACCGTGCGTGGACCGCACGCCGGGCGCGGCGCTGGGCTTTCCACTGAAGTGAGGCTCTATTGGATGCTGTTCTGATTAGAGCCTGATTCTTGTCATAAATTCGGCTGCTCTTGCCACAGGAAGCGGTGGGAAGGAAAGAAACGTGGTTGACCCTGTGTCCTGTGGAGCGAGAGCGCTCGCCTTCTCCCGGGGTCTGTGACGGACGACGAGCGTTCCCCTGGCGCGGGACGTGTCGTGCGCCTCTGCCCTCCGGGCACTTTGTTAACTGTCTGTCTTTCTGTGCGGAACCTAAATGGGTTTACGAAGTTGTATGTGTCGCTGTATTCCTTTACAGCTTCAGGGTTTTGAATCTCGTTTTGGAAGCCATTTCCTGTATTTTCCTGTATTTCCTGGTATTACTTCCACAGTTTCGTTTGTACAGCTGACTTGTGGCTCGATCTGGTGTCTGTCTGGGGCTCTGAGTGAAGGGGGTGTCTAACTTCCCTCCCTGGCCGTGGAGGAGGAGAGGGCCGGCCCACTGCCCTCGGGGGGCCCCCTCACCCGCCCCACCTGCCCCCCACCTGCCCCCCGTCCTGCTTCAGGCGTCTGCGCTCCCGCGCTTCCCGAGGCTCGTTGGGAGTCTCCCCCGGCACGGGTTCCCTGACCTCGCACGCCGTCCCCCCGCTCCCCGGAGCCTGCTGCGGAGTTCTCGGGGCCACGTGAGTGGAGCTTGGGAGGAGCTGGGAGGTGTTGGCTGCCCTCTTGGGCCCAGTCACTTCTTAAAAGCAGCTCTCCCGTGTCAGTCTTCGTGACACACACGTATCTGTGTGCTGGCTATCTCCTAAACCCTACTCTACGGTAGGAATAATCATGACATTCTTCACGAGAAGAGGTTTTCCCCTGAAACTAACATGATGCCGACGGCGGAGGAGGACTTTCTCCGCTCCGGGTGTTGACCCTGCACCAGCCGCCTGGCGGCAGGCCTGAAGGGTGTTCACAAGGAGCTTTGCTCTCCGCTGTCACTGTCTAGTCTGGAAGTCACCTGTACGCTGCCTTTCGACCACGGTAGCCATAATGCTATTTCCTAAGTGGGCCTACTTTTAAGAAACTTCAGACCATCAGGTTGATGTGGTCAACAGAGGACACTTCCACTCAGAGGGCAAGGGATTGTGTTTCCTTTAAGGACAGTCACTGTGAAGTGATCGTTCGTAATCGTCGTGTGCATGGGCTGCACTGATTCAAAAGCCAGTCTCCCTGTTGAACCAGAGCCCGTGGAAATGCGCATCAGGGTCCGCGCTTCCGCGCCTTTGACGTGGACTCTAGCTTCTGTGGGGGTCAGTAAACACCTTTACTTGTGGACGTTTATCCTGTGTGAGTGTGGAGAACGTTATTAGTTCAAGAATTAAATTTGAGAATTAAGGCATTTATATTTGTTGAAGGATTCAACCTTGAAATTACAGTATAAACATTTTTAATTGCCCATTTTTAGTGAGAATAATTTCCCACTTTATTTGCGTGCAATTTCCTAGCATTAATCTCTTCATTGATACTAAAAGAATTTTAGATGTATGGCTTCCAGCTCTTGGGCTGAGGGCTCCATGTGTGGATAGGAATTGCCGGCTTGAGACGTGGTGGGCGTGACTCAGCATTGGTTTGGAACTGCTTACTTTAAGTGGGAGTGTTGCTGATCGGGGGCCGGAGCCCCGCCTAACAGGGAGCAGGAAGGAGGAGCTGGTGAGGAGGGTGGGTGCAGGAGAGGCTTGGCCTGAGCGCGTGCTTTCTCTGGCTGTATAGAGGGGTGTTTTCCAAGCGATAAAGAGGAGTACCAGCTGCGAAAAAGGGAAGAGAAGGGGTTCTTAGGTCCTTGAGAAACTTGTAGGAACGTGTGCCCCTCCCTAGAAAAATGTTCGTGTGTGTGTAAAACTTGCATGCCCCTTTCCCAGGGGCTTCCCGAGCCCCTGGCCTCTGCCGTGGACCCCCTGGTCTGGAAACCCGCTGAGTAGTGCAGGAAGCCTGCCTCCGGGCAGTTTGGTGCGAAGCTGGAGTAGCACCTGGGTGGGTGCCTCATCTCCCTACAGAATGCTGCGCGGTTCAGAAAGTGACCAGGCGCTTCCAAAGGAAATCACTTCTTCTTCTTTTTTTTTTTTACTTATTTTTTGATGGGGGGAGGTAATTAGGTTTATTTAGTATTTATTCTTCAAGGAAGTAGTGGGACTTGAACCCAGGACCTCCCGCATGCTAATCGTTTGCTCTGCTGCTTGAGCTGTGCCCTCCCCCGGAAGTGACCTCGTACAGTCGACAGTGAGACAGGGCTATGTCTGTTGAGCCACGCGGCCGCGGGTGACGTGGGTGTGTGCTCTCTCGCAGCCCCCGACGGCCAAGATGCACGCCATCATCGAGCGCACGGCCAGCTTCGTGTGCAGGCAGGGCGCGCAGTTTGAGATCATGCTGAAGGCCAAGCAGGCCCGGAACTCGCAGTTTGACTTCCTGCGCTTTGACCACTACCTCAACCCCTACTACAAATTCATCCAGAAAGCTATGAAGGAAGGACGGTACACGGTACTGGCAGAAAACAGAACCGAAGAGAAAAAGAGTACGTGACCCTGTTTCTGTCCTGGGCTGGGCTGGGGGCGGGGTCGCCCTGGGAGGGTTGGAGAGGGTCGAGCTTACAGATGCCTGGCTGAAAGCCATCCGTGAAACCCGGCCCCAAGGCACGGTGGTCAAGCCTGCGGGCGCCGTGCGCGTGATGCCCGTCTTGATAAGCCTGGAAAACGCATCAGGTTCTCTGTTAACGCTTTTGCAGATGGTTGAAGTAGATGTAAACACTGATGCTGTCAGCGCAGCCGTCCAGGCTGGGAGGGTGCCCTCTCGTCGGGGCTGCTCGACAGACATGGTGCAGAGAAGGCAGTGAGCCTTGTGCTTCCAGATCGTTCTAGCACACACTCCGCGAGGGCCTGAGCTCCAGTCCACAGGCCCCTGAAAGCCCCTTCCTCTGCCTTTTTACTCATCTCTCCTTAAGCTGTTGTTTTCATAAGAGTCTAAATTTAGAATTCTTACTGCAAAGGGTTTTGCATCGAGTTCAGAGACAGCAGTCCGTGTGAACCTGCCATGAGAGCTCGCTCTCCTCCGAGACATGGTTTTCACAGCCAGTGGTGTGCGTCTCACCACACATCTCGTCTTCTCCGTGTCTGTTCGCTGGAGTTTTAAAAAATAGTCCTTGCTGTTATTTTGCCTTCATAAAGCAGTGAGATTTTTGCCCTTTTTCTAACAAATCTAAAGACAGAGAGTCCCTGGACTAGTTAATGCCAGAGGGAAGGCGCCAGCCGGGCGAGGTCTCGCTCCTTCCACACCCGCCTGGCCTTCTGCTGAGCAGCCTGGGTGGCGACAGCGCAGAGAATAATTTCCAAGGGTGTTTTTGGGCAGATGACTGAGGAGTGACTGCACGTAGCCCTGCCTTTGTCTGTGTCTAAGTTCTTGCATGACATACTGGTGCCTTGAGATCTCGAACCCTACTTTTGCTTTCAGAGGCGGGGCCGGCTCCGACCACGAGGAGGACGAGGAGGAGGAGGACGGGAGTTACCTGCACCCGTCCCTCTTCGCTTCCAAGAAGTGCAGCCGCCTGGAGGAGCTGATGAAGGTTCTTATCGCTTTGTGGGCCGTGTGTCGCCATAGCAAAGCTGCTGGCTTCACCTTGGAGATTACTAAGCAGGCGTGTCTTTTGTCCAACAGCTGTATTGTATTTTGGTATCATTGAGGTACATTTTGCCTTTTCGTTTTGCCGTCGTGGCAGAGATCTGCTACCTGTAGTTTTTTGTGTCCCATTTTGTAAAACCACAGGGGAATTGTCTTCATTTTGTTGTAGTTTTTACTCTGGGATATTTAGAGTAAGTAGAATGTTGGTTAAGACTTGGAAACTGTTTTTTCGTGCAGATTTCATCATAACAGGATTAGATTTTATAGCTGTCCAGAGTACGTGCTGCTTGAAATCGTCTGTTACCATCACAGGCACCATAATCTGTTACCTAAAGATAAAAATTTTTTTCTGACCTTCCCTCATCCTTATTATAAAAGAGTCACTCGGCGTTGTCATGCAGTTAGTCCGTGCTGCTCAGTCTGCCATCTGCAATGGAAAAGCAGGGGTCCGTGAGACCCAAGCACACCATTTCGCATCTCACAGGGTGGCTCATCCCTTGAGGGAGGATTGTAGATTCATTGGACGTGGTGATTCAGAATCAGAAGTTGCTTTAAGGATGGACAAAGTTTCAAGTTTTGAGCAAGTCTGCCGGCTCGCACTTGCACCGGAAGCCGTCCAGTCCTGACCATCCCTCCTTCCTTTCCTTAGTGCTGTCAGGAAGGTGGAAGCAGTTCGTTTGTTCAGTTCCTCTGGAACTTCCGACCGGCCAGAGCTCTCAGCCACAGTAGTCAGGACCTCCGTGTGTGCACGTGTGTGTGGCAGTGGTGCGCACGCGTGTGCTGAGGTGTTCCTGAAGCACAGACGCTGCTCTGAGGTTGAGCTGAGCCTCCCTGCCACCGGAGGGTTCTGCGTGACGCAAATACAGGAAGCAGTGTGACCTCGCGTCCTCTCTGTCTGCAGCCTTTGAAGGTGGTGGACCCGGATCACCCCCTGGCGGCGCTGGTCCGCAAAGCGCAGGCTGACAGCCCCGCCCCCACCCCGCCCACGGCAGACGGCGCGGCAGGGCAGCCCTCCCGGGTGGAGTACGCCTCTGACTGTGAGTACCTCGCTGTGCGCCTCCGGCCCGGCCCGCAGCAGCAGCAAGGCTTACCCAGCAGGGTGTCGGGGCGGTGTGGAGGCAGGCCTGGCGGGGTGCCGTGAGGAACCCCTGCACAGCCGTCCTCAGGCTTGAGCGCGTAGCTTCGTCCTTCGGGTCGCCCATGTTGGCAAGACGGCTGCTGCCACCAGCATCAGCCCTACAGTCCAGG